GCCTCCACCCTGTGTCTCTCCTATTATAAGGTGTTCCATAAATTTAAGGAATGAATTACAAATTAATCTAAGAAGAGGTGATATCTAATAAATAAGATTTATAAATGGAGAATCACTGCCTTAAAATATTCAAATCCTTTGTCTGTATCAGTATTCAGAGATATTATCATTCTCCTCACCTCGCTACTTTCTGAGATATAACTTCAGAGATTTGATGCAAAACAGAAATAAAGGATAAAACCTACTTTATATTATGGGACTTTAGTAAACAGCACTGACTAAAAAAAAGGAAGAAAGAAAAGAGCAATTAAATCAAATGTCCTGATCCCATGGTAGCTAGCAACATCCCCTGCTGCAATTTTTGATTCCTCTTGCTTAGACCTAGGACTTGGGATGTATCTGAAAAAAGAGCTAAAACGCTGACTGTTGTTGGAAAAGCAAGAAGACAATTAGGGGACGTGAATACAATGTCACATTTCTTAGTATTGGCTGATTGGCTGTGACAGCCTCAGTGAGAGAGATGAAAAGACCCGTACATTCCTAAACAGCTGTTAACTCAGGTACAGAAGGTGGCGAGTGCTCCCATCAGAACAACCATTTGCTCACGAGGTGCAATAGCACTGCAGTGTAGTTATAGAAATAGGCCTATTTCTGCTCTGCAACCCCCAGGGTCTGGCCCGCATGGGCTGATGCGCAGCAGCCAGGAATAAAGTGAAAACTTAAAGAGATTTGATGTCATCAGGACGTGACATATGAATGTGGTGCCAATCCCTCTTCCTGGGCTTTCTGACCAATCAAAACAGCTTGCTAAAGATAAAGTGCCCTCCATCCTGCAGTCAAACCACTTCCTTCATCTGCCAAGTGATGTTAAATGCACTCGTCTCTCACTAAACTCTGCAAGCCTTTTCACCTGCTTTTTAATTCTTGTTTGCTGACATTGTCATAGATGGTAGATGTTGGTTAATAGTGGTTGTATGTTGTGACATAGTCAGTTGTTGTTTTTCAATGCATTGTTTTTGAGAAGCCTTCTCCTTAAGACAGATTGCCATAAAATTAAATTTGACTGACTATATACTGTTCTCCTTATTGATTCAGATTTCATGAGGAATTGTTAAATGAGCACAAAAAAGTGCTGAAAACTGATGAATAGTACGCTGGAGTTCAGGCAGGTGGGCAAAAGAGGGAGAATGCAAAGCAGCAAAAAGCGATTTTATTAATTCTTGATTGAATGTCTACATTAAATGAAGGAGGTGGGTGGATGATTAGATGCTTTGTAATATGGCTGGAGCTAGTCTTAAACAAGTAAGCAAGTGTTTTCTCCAAATATGAACTTATTTTAGTTTGATCTTTTAATTTCTGCCAGGGAATGCCCAACTTTTAGGACAAAACTGTTAGTATGTAATAGGTGCTCAATAATTGCTTTTTAAATAGAAATAATAACATTCTTCACAACCTTTAACTTTTTCTTAAAATACCACTTTTCAAATTTTCTCATGCTTTTGTCTTCAATGAACGCAATCCAAATTTCTAAGCAATTACAGTATGAGAAAAATTCAGAAGTAGTGTATAATTTGAAACCTTAATGTACATCTACAAATCAGGTTTCTAAAATTGTAATTGTCTATATTCCCTGTTATGGTTGGAAGAAAGCAAGATATTAAATATTTTGTTATTGATTTGGATATAAAAAGTGATATTCGCCCAAATTAAAGGTCAGACAAATAAAGCTTTAATTGGAATAGTAACACCAGCTAGTTTTTACACTTATTTATTGTATGACCTGTTCTGTGTTTTGTAAATAGCTTATTTATATCTCTTAAATACAGTTTGAGGTAGTTACTATGATTCTCTCTAGTTTATAGGTGAGGAAGCTAGAGCTTAGAAAGATTGAGTAATGAGCCAATGTCAGACAACTGACATTCAACCTGAGGCACCCTGGCTCCAGGCTCAGGGGTCTTAACCACCATGTATATTGCACAAATGAAAGCAAACAGAAACACAGTCAGTTACTTGGAATGATCCTGAAAGTGCTCAGTCACACTATTTCAAAGATCCAGGTCATTTGTCCTAGAAATTACACTATCATTTCACAAAGGTAATTAAATATATAAGCTACCTTTGACTTCACTAAGAGAAAATGTGTATCAAAATAGTATTGCTGCCCGGCCGGTGTGGCTCAATGGTTGAACATCAACCTATGAACCAGGTGGTCATGGTTTGATTCGTGGTCAGGCACATGCCCTGTAGGGGCGTGCAGGAGGCAGCCGATCAATGATTCTCTCTCATCATTGATGTTTTTATCTCTCTCTCCCTCTCCCCCTCTCTGGAGTCAATAAAAAAAAATATTTTTGAAAAGTAGTATTACATCATTTGAGAAATTATCTGATTCCAAGTTGTAATTTCAGAAAAAAAGGCTATGAGAGATTATATGCTCATAATCATTTCTTTGCTGGGGTATAAATGTTGCTAATTGGTGGCCTTTTTCCCCAGTTCCTCTTCTCCATTTATCTCCAGAACTGTCTTTGGTGAGAATATCTCTGGACTATTACAGCAGCCTCCTGTTTGTTCTCCAGACTGTCTCCCAAGGTATCGTCACAGACCAACCAACAAAATATGCTGTATGACTCTCCTCCTTATTAAGAACAAAGAAATTGTTCTGTATTTTATTTTGAGTCATACACCCTAGCGACAGTCCAATGAAAGCTGTAGACTGTTTCTGAGTAAAACGAACTTTACACACATTATTCATTATTCTCTGGCATAGCTTGTTAGGGATTTCAAATATCCCCCACCAGCCTGCTTCCTCACCTGATATTCCATCATTTATCCTGTCATCTGTACCCTGGTTGCATGACATTTCCATTTTTTCTGTCATGCTTAGAATATTCTCCAAGTTCTCTCTTCTATGCATGCTCTTAGCTATCTGTAATGCAATGCTGGACTAGAGGAAGGCCTTGTGATGTGTCTGCCATGGGCAGCCTTCAAACGTCATTCTATAAGCTTGAGACTAGTATCTAGCTACTTAGGATCTCAATTTTATCACTGGTAAATGAGGGTGGTAACGATATTTATTTTTTTGGGTTTTTATAAAGCTGAAATGAGATAGTGAATGTAAAGCACTTGGCACTCAATAAATACCTATCTTTAATCCAGATTGATCATCCTCACCTTTTATGCCCTACCTCCCACCCCAGTGAGTGGATTTTGGGTTCCTTTCTGTGGCCCACAGCACCCAGGATGATACCTCTGAACATGTAACAGTACTTGACATTTTCTGTTTCTCCATCTAGACAAGTTGTTCTTAATCCAGATTGCACACTTAAGTAATGTGGGAAGCTCTATAAAAAATGCCCCTCCTTGCCCTAGGCCAGTGTTGGCGAACTTTTTGAGCTCGGCGTGTCAGCATTTTGAAAAACCCTAACTTAACTCTGGTGCCGTGTCACATATAGAAATTTTTTGATATTTGCAACCATAGTAAAACAAAGACTTATATTTTTGATATTTATTTTATATATTTAAATGCCATTTAACAAAGAAAAATCAACCATAAAAATGAGTGTCATTGGTTCGCCATCACTGCCCTAGGCGGTTTGGCTCAGTGGATAGAGCGTTGGCCTGTGGACTGAAGGGTCCCAGGTTTGATTCCGGTGGATGTGTCTCTCTCACATTGATGTTTCTCTCTCTCTGTCTCTCCCTCTCCTTTTCACTCTCTAAAAATCAATGGAGAAATACAGAAAGTAAATAAATAAATAAATAAATAAATAAATAATGCCCCTCCTTGGTCCAATTAAATCAGAGTCTGTGGCATGGTATGCAGTCATGGCTTATAAAGTTCTGCAGGGGATTTTCATGGTCAACCTTAGACTACAGACTCCTTGAGGGCAGGGATTCACCAGTGAACCCACTTCTGTCATGGAGCTGCCCAGTGAAACACCCACTCAGTGCATGCCCTAGAATGAATGAATGCATGTGTGCATCATGGCCAGCTGCTATCCAGGCCTTATACAGTCAGAAAACTTTAGCCCATTTAATTATGAAAATGTAACACTCAAATTTAACATATTTTTAATAAATTTACATTTATACAATGGTAGTCAATACTTAAGCAGATAAGGACATGCTTTAAGTTTTCTCAGAGTAGATGTTGCTTCAGGCAACTTTTTATCTATACATTTGTATGGTTAGTGATTCTTTTTTTTTTTTTTTCATTCTTTGGGACCTGAAGTCCTGTTGGTGGGAAGGTTTTATAAATCTCTTAAACTAAAGGGTGCTTAAATGCTTAGAGCTGAAATTAGTGGTCTGCCTGCCACTATAAGATTTCACACTGTTGGGTTACTATATATAATTCTATCCTGACTAGCATTTATTTTGTTGCCTTTCTCTTGAGAGTGTAGATGCAGATTTATATTTAACCTTCCTGTGTTCTTTCTTTTTAGTGACCTATCAATAATAGTGTTTGGCTGTAAAAATATACACAGTACCTTGTGAAAGGAAGAAGAAAGGGACTAATAGCATTAAAAGCAATAGCTCTAGCAATTTGTTGAAATTAACTTTTTCCCATAATGGCAGTAGTGCTTTCTTTTCTGAATGCCAAATGGAAACTGATATACAATAAAATGAGTCTTTTCATATAGTAAATAGTGTCAGATCACCATGACTACTAAAATCAACTGTCTCATTTAAATGCAAAAGATTTGTAAGTTTATTTTCAGGAGGATTTGATTTCAGAATGGCCTCTAGACACTAAGCTGAATGGTGGGTAAGGGAAGTAGATTCCTATCTTTTCTCATAAAGAGAATCATGACCTTATTATCTCAGTTCTGGCCTATAAATTAAAATGTTATCAGCTCAACAAAAAGAAAGAAAATACATTACAAAAATGTCTCTAACTGTTAGGGGATCCCAGTGCAGAAAATGCACAGGATCGATAGTTTTATTGGAATAATAATGATAGATTCTGGGACTATATTTAATTTTGTTACAATGTTATTTTCTCTTAGGTAATCAGCTCTGATGTGGGGTCAACAGTTTGCTTCTGGATGATAGACACTGGGCAGAAAATCAAACAATTTACTGGTTGTCATGGAAATGCAGAAATCAGCACTATGGCCCTTGATGCAAATGAGACACGGCTTTTGACTGGCAGCACAGATGGAACTGTTAAGGTAGGAACAGTTCTTACCAGACAAGAGGGGGCCAGAATACTGTGAGAGGAAACACGGTTTTGACTATATTTATTTGTGCTTTTTTTGGCCTTGCAAGAAGAGAGATGAGACAAGGTAAGAAGAGCTAAAGAACCCAAGCCATCTAATAACAAAGCTGTTAGGAAAAATGAATAAATGGTTTTTCTGAATAAATTATTTAGAATGAAAGCACAACTTGGCTTTCTTATTTTAGAAAGCTTTTTCCAGTGCTCTGGATAGAGGACTACTTTGGGGAATAAGAGGCCTGAATAATTTCCATGTGCTTCAGCTAATGTCTCTAGTTTCCTTTTCCTCGATTTATAAAATGAGAAATCAGGGCAAGTACGTAAACTTTTCAACATGGCATAGATGCAACGTTTCCAGAAAATTAATATGTTAGAATCACCCCATTTTGTAATTTTTATTTTTATGTGAAGGTGAGGTGGTGAAGAAAGGGGGAAGAACAATCATAATCTTATTTATCATTTATCTTACACTCACACGATATTCTGCTTTGGGGCTTTTCTGTATCTTGCAACCATTATTAATTTCTTCTGGGAGAAAGATGATACTATTTTACTTTGCAAAAAGTGATCAAATTTTTATGCCAAGTTAGATACAATCTGAAATCATGTCCATCAGTGAATCTTCCCTGCTTCCCCGGGCTCTGAGGGTAATGACAGAGTTTGATTGGAGATGACGTGTGCCACTCCGAGGCCACAGAGGGTACTTTTCTGAATAAGCTTTAAGTGGCTTGCAAACTTTCATATCTGGAGTCATGAGAGTGTTAATTAGATGTATCTTCCATGATAGGATGTCTGATACATTCAGGGTAAGGGGCGCTATCTGGATATGTAGGTGTCATATAATGGAAGGTGGAGGCAAGTTTGAAGGAGGATTGCAGGCTGCTAATGGCCAGTGGGAAGGAGGTGCTATGGCATGTTACAGTGAACATCTCTGGGAATCAGCAGAATTTGATTAACCTCTAGGAAGGTTAATGGATGACCTATAGACTGGGAGATTGAGTTTAAGCAAAATGGACTCATTCATGGAAGGACTGACTGGTAAAAGGTGTGAGGGTAATGGAATAATGCCAATCCTAATAGTCAAGGTGGAATGAAAAAAGAATAACTGAAAGTGGAGTATTAGACAGAGGCTTATCAAAAGGAGCAAGCAAGTGTCCCGACTACTAGTCGTGGGGAATGAGGCAGAACTGAAAAACAAGGGAAGTGGATTAGGTTCCCTCTACTCCTGTCATGGGAAGTAACCATCCAGAGTATGGCAGACTTATTAATGGTTGCTAAAATGGTCCCAGCTAAGGGATGAGGTAGATTCTGGGGGCGTCACATCCTTACAATACCTATGTGTGGTATTATTTTAGGTGGGTTTGTTTAGGACCCATGGGTAGAAGAAAACAGAGTGACATGGGTGAGAAGATGTCACTGGCTCAGCTCAAGCTTTGACATTTTAGAAGCTAATGTGAATTTACTAGTATAATCTCAGCTTTTGAAGGTACATTTATCTTTATCACAATAGCACAACAGAATTCTGAAATTTGGTAACCTCTACATAGGACACATAAATCAGGGTTGAGCTACAGTGGCTGTATTTATGAAGAAACAAGAATGAATGACATTTTCCAATCTCATTTATCATTCAGCATCTAAAACCAATACCTCTGTAATCAAAGATTTAAAAGTATTGCCCTGTTTCTCAGGGTTTTGAAGTGTCTGTTTTTTAATTAATTAATGTTTTGAATAAATTAATCATGCATATAATACAATTTAAAATATAAAATAGATATAAAGTCAAAAAAAATCTTTCACCCTTATTTCCAGCTCCTTACTGTGCCTGCTACTGTTTCCAGTTTCTTAGGCATGCTTCTATCTAGACTTTGAGCACCACTTCCTTAACGGCAGCTCACTGTCCATGCTGTTCTGTATTTTGTGTTTTCCTGCTTGGACATTGATTCATATGAATACCAACAATAGTCATAATGTTAGCTAACATTTATTTTATGCTTACTATGAACCAGAAATTTTCCTAGCACTTCACACACACACACACACACACACACACACACACACAATATGGTTGTTGCTTTTATTATCTCAGTTTTACAGCTGAGAAAACTGAAGCCCAAGAGATAAAGCGACTTGCTTAAGATTCCACAGCTGGTTTAGTTTTGGCTGAGCTTGGACACATGGAGGTGACTCATTCTTCTTAATGGCTCCATTATATATCACTGTATAGATATTCCATATTCTGATGCTCAGTCTCTTATTAGCTAACCAGTAAATGGATTCAAATCTTTATTTTTTATAAACAATGTTTCAAGAATAGTCTCCAAATTAAGCCATCTCACACATTTGAGTGTCTCTGTGTAATGTCTTTCTAAAAGTTGAATTTTTGAGTCAAAGTTTATATGCATTTTAAGTTTGACAGAAGGCCAGCTTGCCCTTTGTGCATGATGTACCAACAATGTCTCATAGCAAGGCATAGTTTTAACTGCTGGGGACCTAATGTCATTCTTTCTTAAAGCACACCTATTAGGTTTCGGTCCTCACCAATGCCCGAGTCGGGTAATCTAGAATTTCCTGTGCCTCCATAGGTCTGAGTTCTAGCAACCGCTTTCAAAAAGATGTTTTGTGGGCAGATGATGGAAAACTTGGTACAATGATCACTGAGTTTCAGGCTCTGTATTAGATGTTTAAAATTCCAAACGCCCCTGAGGAGTAATGTTCCTGTGTCATAAATTAGGAATTTTAGAGAGACATACTAGTACTTAGAGTGAGAAGCAGGATTTCAACAACTCCAAAATGGGGCTCTTCATGATTTTAACTTGCCACCCCCTTAAAAATACCCACTAATTTGTTAGCCTTTGAGTCAAACATGTATAGAATAAACTGGCAGTATTACTCATAGAGTAATACATATAATGGCTAAATTTCAATAGTGAGGGGATTTTCTTGAATTATTACATATTCTGAGTGAATCAACCCTAGTCCAGAATGGAAACACAAACATTTAGAATAATCTTATTATACTGTGCTGTTTCACTCATTGAAGAAGACATTTTCTTGTCTCAACGGTGATTTTGATTTTTCTCTTAAAGGTGTGGGATTTCAATGGATATTGTCACCATACACTAAATGTTGGAAAAGAGGGAGTTGTGGATATTTTACAGATCCTGGTTCTTAAGAAGACAATACTGGTTACAGGCTGGGACAGGTATGATATGCATCACATAAAACTATAGGAAGAATGTTCTTATTGGAATCAAAATATAAAAGAAAAAAGAACATAGAAATCTTGACTGAATCTAAATCATTGACTTTCTGGTGACCTAGGTGAGTGAAATTGTTTGGAATTGACTGAATACTTAGTGACTATACTATTATAAGATCATGTAGCTTGAACAAGTTTAAGAATTGTTATAGGGCTTTCTCCTGGCTTTGGGAGCCTTCCTCTTCCTTTAACCATTCCAGGTAGGGACATAATACCACTTCCTGAGTATTAACTCCAAAAGTTTCCCAAATGTTATAGGCAATAAATTCTTAATGTGTAAATTACATTCTCTCAACTGTAAAAGGAGCTCATTCCTTCTTCTCGTGTTGCTTATTTTAAATTGCAGCACAAGAGGGAAATAGCCCACTGAATTCTGTGTTAGTACCTCCTTCATCTTAGTGCAGAGAGGCCCTTTCACAGCCCACTTACTGTTCTCAAGGAGCTATTCTTCCATTTCATTACAAGGGAAATTACTTTTCTTTCCTTTTTTTTTTTTCCTGAGAGAACTAAGGGATCATGAACAGAGTCTTTTCTATGGCATTGTATAAGCACTAGGAAAAATTAAAGTGCTATGTTTTGAAAATATATTGTCCATAAATTCAACATTTCACAAAATATTGCTCTAATAGGTAATTTTCCCAGCATTATTCACTATAGAATTATGATCTGAAGGGTTTGAAGCTAGGATTAAACAGATTTCATACCTAGAAAGCTAGCAGTATATACTTGGGGATTTTTATCAATCACATGAAAGGCTTTTCTTCTAATGCAAATGTGTGTATGCAGACAAGCAGAGTGCCACACACAGCTCAGTTTCAGGGGAAGTTTGATTATAAGGAAGGAAATATAGACCAGATTATTCTACTTGATATTAAGAACTAATTCAATCATCCTCAACTTTGAAAGACAAGGCTTCTTCACATCCCTGGGAGCAATCATGAGCCATTAACAGCTCATAACGGTTCCAATAGACTATGGCCTAATGATCTCTATAATTAGGTTGTGGCAGTGAATAACATTTAATTCTCTAATATCATGGCAGGGTAGATGTGTAGGATACAGCTGACCCAATTTAAATTTGGGACAGAACAAAAAGAATTTAAAAAATTAATCAGTGTAATTTACAACTGTAGAGATACCATTTTATTAATTATATTTTTAAGATCTCCATAGTTAGAAATTAGCATCACATGTAAGTTTTTTTTTTTTATTGCTAATAGGGAAAATTTTTAAAAGATGAGATGCGTAGAGTCATCTGAAAATGATTTAAAGGAGCATCCAATTTTCTGGTCTATCTTTGTGGGTGATCATGTCCTATAATCTTGGGGAGGAAGCTTGGGGAAGCCTGAAATGAGAGGAGGAAACGTTATCACTCTTCCCATCTTTCTCCACTTATTCCACCTTCCACAAGGTGGTCAAGACTTGGATCCCTTAGTTGGAATTGAAAGCTAAAAAAAATGTATTTCCAATGACTTCATGTCACTTTATATTGTTGGATTTAAAAAACATATTTTCTAAGTCAGAGGACTTATTTTAGAGTGGTTGCTGGAGGATCTTTGCAGGGATCTTTTTGCCAGGATGCATTTGACAAAAGAAGCAAGAGTATTAGTCAACTATTTGGTAATAGCTTGGGAAGGATGGTCCATTATGCCAATTCCTTAATAATTTAGGGATTAGAGAAGAAATAACTAGAAGACTGACAGTCAGCTCATCAAGCTTTCTTTAAAACCCAGAGGAAACTGTTAAGCTGAAGGTTTAACTTCAGGCTCTATTGAAAAGAGCCGTGTTTGCTAATTTTGCCCAGGATGGAATCAGAATTCCACTTAGTTAGGGAGATAAAACTCATTTATTTTATCCATAGAGCTTTGTAGCACTCAGCACTTAACACACATTATCTAATTTAAACCTTGGCTTCACTTTAAAAGGTATGCGATATTTTATAGCTATCTCAAATCTCTGTCTTTAGCTCTTATCTCTCTAAACTCACTTTGCTGGGTGTGTATGATTGCAATCCAAAAATCAACATATTCTAAACTGCATGCATTATTTATTCCCCTCTCCAAAACCTGTTAATAGCCAGAGACCTTGGTTTTCCCTTCTCACTCAACTTCACCACCAAGTAGTCACTAAGCCTTATCCATTTTATATTCAAATATTTCTCAAACCTGTTCTCCTCACTACTACAACTGTATAATTCAGAGCGTCATTCCCACATATACGAATGTCACAGCCTTCCCATTTGTCCTTTCCTCTAGTAATGCCCCTCTTTTACCTCTTAAATAGATACTGAACATTTTAGCTACAATGATTTCTTTCTACACTGCATTCTGTCAATGTCACTTCCCTGTTTGACACCTTTCAGAGTGTCTACATAATTAATTGAAGTTCCCACCAGCTTGGACCTATTCTTAGTTTCATTCTCACTCATTCTCCTGTACATTCCAAACTCAAGGAGCAACCTACTGTCAGGATGTTCCCATACACATTCACTGTTTCACACCCCCTTGTCGTTATTCTCTCCCTTTCCCAGCATTTTTCATGTGGCTAATGTGCATTCTTAATTCTAGTCTTGTTCACATATCCTCCCCACCAGGGTATCTCTTTACTCCCAGGATGGAAATATGCCTCCTTTTTGTCTTTGTGCTCTCTAGCTTCCTGCACTTTATCTAACATAGGAATAGAATACATATCATTGAGCAGCTAATAGATAGATAGATAGATAGATAGATAGATAGATAGATAGATAGATAGATGATAGATGGGTAGATGATAGACAGATAGATGATAGAGAGATAGAGAGAGATGATAGATATAGTATGTATATTTATATAATGTCTGGTGCTTAATAGATGCTCAATGATATTAGTTATATAACAATTAATGTTTATTGACTAGATAAGGAATCTGATGATTAGCTAGATTAATTTATCATTAGTCACACTCTGAATAAAAGGCATGCAGGGTAGATATTAAAATATATTCTCTCTTCACAATAAATCAGAAAGTTAAGTGTTACCAACTCTCTTCTATAAGAAAGGAAACGAAGCTTGAAGAAGTTGGGCAGCCTGGCCAAGCTTACAGAGCTAATAGGCAGCTAAGTTAGAATTTGCCACCAAAGTCCATGCTCTTCACATTAGTTCTGAGTTACAGATGAAGTTGTTAAATCATGGGAAAGCAACTATATTCTTTTAAACAAGTAATTTGATTAAGTAGGTTGGTCATATCAATCAAAGGTAATGAATCATTTCTGTGCATTTGAAGAAGTGCATAAAAATGTATTATTAACAGCACCTTAAAGTTCTAGAGTATCATTATTTCCCCCCTTTCTTTCCCTCAATTATTTTTAAATTGCACCTAAATGAAAAGCATTGAGTTAGGAACTATGATGGACTGAATGTGAAGAAGCGTGATTCGTGCTCTCAGTGATATCACATCCTAATTGGGGAGTCAACATATACAAGGCAAGATATGGTAAATGCCACTGTAAAATTATCCTAAGAAAAACCTGAATTAGAGAGCCCATGTTAACTACTTAGAAATACTATAATTCTTATATAGAAAATATCTCTGTCAGAAAAAGGAAGCCCAAATTTAGAACTTCTAGAAATATGTTTCTTATCATTTTACGCAAAATATACTTTAGAGACATAGGGTCAATTATATACTTGGCCATATTTATTTTGATAAGATTAAGTGAATGAATGATCAATTATCTTTGCATTTATTTAAAGTAGACATGTAATGTGTATATTATGGTAAAATAAAATAAATATCATAACAGTTTAGTATTTTATTTTGCCTTAAAATTCTGATTCTATACTTGTCAACTCTCTGTAAAAATAGACTCAGACTCTTAGTTTTTTCCACTTTATTTCTCTTTCTGTTAAAGGTGAGATCACTGTTTATGAAAATTTTTACCCCTTTTAAATACTTATTCCTATACAAACACTGAAAAAAAGAGAGAGAATCTGTTATATAACTTTAAATAATTCTGAAAGTATTATTTTAAAAAATATATTTTTTATTGATTTCAGAGAGGAAGGGAGAGGGAGAGAGAGATAGAAACATCAATGATGAGAGAGAATCATTGATTGGCTACTTTCTGTGCACCTCACACCTCCCCCCCCCCCCCCCCCCCCGCCACCCCACTAGGGATCAATCTCAACCAAGCAACCCACCAGGAATTGAATTGTTGACCTCTTGGTTCCTGGGTCAGTGCTCAACAGCTGAGCCACACCCAGCTTGGCTAAAAATATTCTTGATAGCAGCATTTTTCACAGTTTTGTAAAAAACTAGGTGCTCAAAAATAGCTGTTGATGTAATTTGATTTCTAAACGTATTTTTAAATGAAATGAGATTAGGGATTTGAAGTTCCTCAACAATAAAACTTACCTATCATGTGATATTAAATACTTAATGATTGCCTTAGTAAGAAACTATAATTCCATATGATTCAACTGGTTTATATTATTAGGCTAAGAATCAGAATGAAAACTTCCAAAGTTGTGACTTATTCTGAACAACCCTGCTAGAGGTCAGGAGGAGGCAGGAATTCACAAATGACCCTCAAACCTAATTTTGAGATGGTTTTAGTGTTTACAATTTGACTTCACAAATTTTAGGGAAATAGATAAAAATGACCTGACATATAGTAAACTAGTTCTCTGCCTTCGAGATATCTCTTTTTAACCTAAAAGTCAGTACATAGGTTCTTATAATTGGACTAACAACACATGAACAAGTAACCTCAAAGGGAACATGTAGTTGATTGTGTTCTTTTGTTCTTTCCAAGAATTTTTACATGATAAGTTTTAGTAAAAGCTATTTTCCTAACTCATTCATCCTAAAAGGTTGTTTCTTAAAACATTTTTTTAAAGTATTTTTCTGCACTTGAAAGGAAAAACTAATTTTTTTCTTGCAGAATTAGTCATTGTATTTAAATT